TTCTAATCATTCAGTCTACGACACAATGACTCTGACCTTCTCAAGGAAAACATAAGTCCATCGATCTGAAATTATTTGAATTCTACTTCTTATTTAGGAACCAATCAATAGACATTACTATCTCCCCTAGTTTCAATAAGCGAGTAATCAAAAACCAAAAGTTGAAAACTTCTGCTTTCTAAAATCTAAACTACAAAAGCTTAATCAAAAGCACGAAAGGGAGTGTTTTCATATATTTTTCTAGTTATTCAATTAAATTTCTCGCTATTTTTAAATTTCAAGATTTAATGATTTGCTGTTATGGCTAGAAACTGAAATAAAAAAATAATTTCAACACAGATAAAAGCAATATTGGATTATTTATCATCAGATTGGTGATATTGAGTAATTATTCAGAATGGTTTGCTTTCCAAGAATTTCTTAAGGAACAATGGGCTTCTTTTTATTTTTTATTAATTCATTACTTTCAATTTAGTGATAAGTTTAATATGAATTCTAGGAGTTGTGCTATAGGATTTACTCAAAAAAAAAGTCTAAAAAGAACATAAAGGATGTATATCTAGACATATTATGCCACCTTTACTGGATAGTTTTAAATTAACTTCATTCTGTTATCTTTACACATTTATTCAATTAAATTCCTGAAAGTTAAGCCGAAAAATGTTCAAACAACTGAGTTTGCACAGACATCATAAATTATAAAATATTCCTATTTTATAATTATGATGTCTGCGAATTGTTCTCAGAGAAGAAAAAGATAAAAATGCAAAAAATTATTTCAAATATATTTTCAATTAATTTCAAATGAAATATACTTGTCTACCCATAACTTGAAGCAACTGATTGATCATGTTGATAAAAACATTTAATATTTCAATAATGAAACTACTGTACAAATTCAGAGAAGACGCTTTATGGCAATCTAGGCGGCCAAAGCAAGAGTATAAGAATATGGCCAGTAGCTTGGGTCTGGGATATCGTAGTGTAAAATCGTTGAACACTATTAGTCAGACTCATAATTTGGTAAGTTAAGATTTCATCATAAAATTTATTGGCGAAGCGTTAATGAATCGGAAATCAAAATCTGTGAAATTTTAAGGAAAAAATGTGAAACTAATTGGTAGGAGAAATTGAGGCTTATTGTTCATGGATTTATAAATCGGCCTGAATTCTATAGACTAATAGCAGTTTTTTAAAGCAAATTAGTAGCAGGAACTTCGATTACGTGCTGGTTCACCACAGATTCCATCCAGTATTGGTGATATTATTAATACAGAACATGGTTTCACGATTCAACTAAACACAAAACATTTCCAACCGAGAGATATTCAGGTTTTTTCTAAATCCAACACACGTGGATGACAAAGGCCAAATTATCAGCAATAAATAAATATTCTTTCCAGGTAACTTTACATCAGAACACGCTTAGTGTAACTGGAGATCGCTTAGAAGATGATGGTACTGGTGCGCAAAGACTACATCGTAGTTTCACACGGAAGTATACAATCCCTTCTGATGTTCGACTTTCTTCCATATCATCCTACACCACCAATAATGGCTATTTAATCATCAAGGTATTTATTTATATACATTTTTTTCCAGAGTATTTTCTAGAGGTAATCATGATCCATTTCTGGGAAGATTCATATGAAACGATTATGTGTGCCTGCGCCTCTTCTAGTACAGGACTTCATCCGTTTTCTTATCCCAATAGTTTTTTTTGTAGAAATTATTCTTTGAAAGTGGAAGGTGATTTTTTCTTTCTTCAAAACAATTTTATTTGAATTGACACCCCCAACTCTTTCCAGGGTAGCCGAAAAGGCTGGAAGGAAACCGACTTAACGAAGCATTTGGCATCTACATCAATATCCAACGAATCAATGACAAGTGCTGTTTGAGATATATCCAGGAAACGTTCTCGTAGTCGTGATTTTGTTGTTCAGATCTCTTATGCTATCAGTAAATAAGAGTCATTTTGGGGACAAGTTTACCTGTCTCATAAATATTTCTCGTCATTTTTGGTGGATAAGTAATTATGTATTTAATATTTGAGAAATATAAAAGGGAATGATACCTTTATCATTATTGTATTGTTTGGAGGAAAAAAACGTGAGCACTGAGAAATTCCAATCAATAAAACAAGATAAGTTGAAAAGAAGAAAAATTACGGCAAGTTCAGCAGGAAGAAAGCAAGTCTTGCACTGAGGATGCAGTGCATTGATTGTCAGAACAGAAAGCATGTCCGCCTGCAAATCTTCGGAAAAATGCTATAAACTAAATCCCCTACACATCTTTTCTTTTGCATTCTCCCTTACTGCAAGTAAATTGTTAATTATTTCGCAGGTTGAGGTTGACTTCCATCGCCACTTTTGTTATTGCATTCTTTCCGGCTATCCTGTCCGAAGATTCACAAATACCAATGAAGCCTTTTCTGGCTAGCTTCAATTCGATCTATCTCTTATCATTATCAGCATTTACGAACTAATAGTAAACACAACATTTGCTGCTTGTTAGCTGGAAGGACTTACAGATGATTAATAAATTTGGAAGAGATGAATTGAGGAAATATGTGAAAGTTTGGACATCTGCGCACCATCCTATTCCATTTCTTCCTTTGCTCTCAGAAAGAGATGGATGGAAGCTATTCATAAGCGATTCACAAGTGAGTTGAAAAATATCTTTTCCAGAAAGAATGATCCGAAATGTTCCCGGCACTCAAAGCTACACTAACTGAGTTTGAGCTGTTCCTCTACTAGCTCCATAATTAAACCCACAGTCTTTAAACATATTATCCTTCTGGCCTCCCCACATCAACAACTCTTAACTCACATCCCGTCTTACGATCACGTCATAACGAGCCTCGGTATGCAAAATAGATAATTAATTATGTGCAACCAACTACTCACTCACCGACTGATCCCATTACTGAAAGCTCTGATTTCATCTCTGTAACTGCAATGCAAATCGCTCACAAAAGCTGCATTTATTGTTCTATAAGTCTATGTATGTCTGTATGTATGTGTGTGTGTGGTTGGGACGTTCTTGACAAAAGTGAGTTATTCTTTATGGCGTAATGTAGCTGATATCCGGTTGAGATTTCTGATTTCTGAGTCACTGTCCGATGTGTAACAGACACAAATTGCTAACAAAGGGAAGAAGGAAGATGGAACCACAGCTGGCGCTGTGTTGCTAAATGCATATGGTGTCCGGGGGCACAGGAGAAGAGCTACTAGAGAGAAAGACTGGAAATTTGAGAGAGGAAACTGAGGTGATAAAGGGGAGGTGTAGACCGCCATGCATTCACCAAGTGCACTCGGTTTCAACTTCAACTTCAACTTCAGCTCCAGCTTCTCAATCCTCAGCTTTTCGAGTGATTAGCTATCAGTCTGTCCTATCCAACACATTGTTCTACTCTCTACAAACCAGTTCTTATTGGTGGTTATATGTATGGAAATTCACAAAACTTTTTTCAAATTTCACCAGTAAACTATACTGTATTTATTATCTTATCAATATGATAATCATAGGTAGCAAGGGTAGAATTATATATGTTCGAGGTATTATTGAGGAGGAGATGAATTGAAATAAATGACATCGATTAGTTATTTCATTTCAATTCTTGTTCCCAAGAAAATTTCTCTAACTTCATTTTGTTCTTTGTTATTTTCTTTTCTCCATACGATAATAGAATTAACTAACATAGTTCCAGAAAAGCTGATTGGATTCGACATAAAATACTGAAGAACGATCTGTTCAACTATTCTCTACAATTTTCCGTTCCGTCTCTTGCAGTAGTCGTTGTTCAGAATCAACTCTCCATAAAATCAACTATTTAACAAGTTTTACTCCCAATAGATCAAAGAAGCCGATAAATGAATCAATTAAGGTTTTCCGAATACAAATAGCAGAGAGATTGTAATGTCCCTTTTTAAGCCATATCTTCTGCACTTAATGATAAAGCAAGGAAAAAAAAAGGAAAAATTGATGGGTTGAAACAATACTCAAATGGATTTCAGATTTTAAATAAAAAAAGCGGTGGAAGAACTTGCAGAGGTCATTTGATCGTACATGATATGTGAAAGTAGAAGATTTCATTCTCAGCTATATCAGTAATATTATGTAAAACTTGAGAAGAATGGGACGCATATTTACTTTAACATTGCACCATTTTCGTCCTTCTAGCTAATGATTCAATAGTGATATTGAGGATTGTAGTGAGGGCGATGGTTTAACAATTGATCTCGATCTGATGCTCAAATTACTATCAAGAAGAGGAAGTGAACTGTTGAGAAATAAGAGTTAAAAGAGTAATATTTAGAAAGGAAAATCGAAGATCAAATTTTGAATTATTATTTGTGCTTTATTGGACTTTAGTAAAAACTTACATCATAAATGGCTTTTCAAAATTCAAAATTTGTCTTTTAGAAAACAGTACTGTTGTTGTTTGCCATCATGTCTTGACAGTTCAAATTATTTCGAATTTTTATAAACAAAACTTTTCACAGTAGTCTTCGGAGAGCAATTATTTAACTTTTAAACTATTGTTAATAATATTGTCAATAGTTAAAACAGTGTTCAACTATCTAAATTTTTTCTTTATTCTAAATCCTTCAAAAATGATTATTTCATAAATATTGTCTTATTAAAAGAACGAAAATTTACTTATGTATTTCTTCTCTCTAAGCTATGTATCAAGCCTAACAAAACAAAAGCATCCCTACTAATGTCAACTCTTCGCGAAGGAATAAGTAATAATGGTTACTCATGAGGAACAAGACTTATGGCTGCCAATTTTTTGATACGTTGAATCATTTGGTTGAAAATGACAAAGCTTAAGAAAAAGATGAAAAATTATAGTTCAGTTCGGAGATAGTCGAAATTCCTTTCAAACCACCAAGCATCGGAAAAGAAGGCTGAATGAAGAAACATAACTACTCAAGTGGTGCACGAAGATTAACCAACATATATAATTAAATTATTTCAATTATATATGCGACATTATGTTGTGTCTAAAATTACTGCTGCTGGCAATATTTTCTACGGAACAGCCGATATTGCCTGTAAGATTGTCACCTTTCGTTGACGCAGCTGCATGTAAAGGATGTGTACCGCCCTGTATCTGTCCTGGACGAAAAGGAGAGCGGGTATTGCCTTCCCTTATTTGATAAAATATCGAGAGTTCTGTATTACTTACCTTGATAAAGGTTTCGTGTATATATAAATTTTTCTGTAAATTTTCAAGAAATGTACGAAGGGTTCTGATTATTTCTAATTCTACAATATTTTATTCATTTTAGGGCATACCAGGTTTTCAAGGTGAAAGAGGTCATCCCGGAGCACCTGGTCAGGATGGTGGTGAAGGGCAAGCTGGTGCAGGTGGAATGCAGGGTGCAGAAGGAGATTTCGGTGATCCAGGAATGAAGGGTGCTAGAGTGAGTTATTGCAGGAAGTTTCACTTAGGAAACGATCAAATGTTCTTTTTCAAGGGCAATTTAAATCAATATCTTCCTGTTGATGAAAACATAAAAATTGTTACAGGGCGATCGAGGTTTACCAGGCGCACCGGGTCATGTTGGATATCCCGGACTCGATGGCTTACCTGGTATGAAGGGTGAAATGGGTATACCGGGATGCAATGGTACGGATGTGAGTTCTTTTTTTTTATTTTTAATAGATTTTTCTGATACACTTATCTCAATTTTCTCAATTTTAGTGTCCTGCAGTATGCAAAAATTTAATTTTTTCAAATCGACAGAATAAAAAATTGCAATGAATTTCTCACATTTTCCGAATGTCTATTGCTTTATAAATTTTTAAAGATTAAAATCTAAATTGCTATCCTTATTTATGTTTCTCCGTTTAATTTTTACCACTTTCATTAATTGGCATCTGTGGAACAATTGCCATCTTACCTGTATTTATTCATCAATAATTTAAGTTGTAATCACATTCAAACTAATAAACTCCACAATAGTTTTTCAGTATCGTTGTCAAAAAGTTAAGATTCTTCAATTTGTTCTTTAATGCAAATAAACAAATAAATTGAATGAAATCAACTTTAATTGCATATTTATAGCCTTGCTTTTGATCTTTTGTAATTACCGATAATTTGGATGGTTAGCTCCAAATTATTAAAGAAAACGTTAACTTAATACACATCATCTCTTCATTACCGTATAGTTTTATAGGGAAGACCAGGATTACCAGGTTTAACCGGTCCTCCAGGTTTAAGAGGTCCTCCTGGCGAACCGGGTCGTTCTGGATATCCTGGACCACCGGGCGAAGGAGGTATCAATTCAATTGGCAGGAAAGGTGAACGAGGAGACTCGGGTCGTGCTGGATTACCTGGTATACCAGGTTTACCCGGATTACCTGGACCGAAAGGTGCGAAAGGAGATCCTGGACCGTATGTAAGTTGCATTTCTCAAATCTTTTTTTTGTCAATAAATTATCTTTAATAAATCTATTTGCAACAATTTTTCTTACAGGGACCACCAGGCTTCCCCGGTCCTCAAGGTCCAAAAGGACGCATGGGAATTCGAACACCGGGTATGAAGGGTGAAAAAGGTTTAGCAGGACCACCAGGACTACCCGGGCCACCAGGTAGCTTTGCTGGTGCATCTGCTCCGGAAGAAACGGAAGTAATTCAAGGACCTGTGGGACAACCAGGTACATTATGAAGGATTAACACAAAAATAGAATAACCTTTCAAAATGAACTTCTATTCCTGTACATTTGAGTAGGCTTTTTGTTACCATATCTCAAAATTATATTACAGGTTTGAAAGGTGAGAAAGGACGAGTTGGTCCAGTTGGACCTCCTGGATTTGCTGGAAGTGATGGGGTGCACGGATTTCCAGGAATCAAAGGACAAAAAGGAGATCCTGGCGATTTAGGAGCGAGAGTAAGATTATTTGGTAATTACTCCAAAGCTCACATTGAATTCCTATTTTCTCCACCTCACAAAGGTTATTTGGAGAAGATAAAATATCCTCATCTTAATGAGTATTTTGTCCATCTGAGAAATATTCTATAATGTTTTGATCGGCAGGACTTTCCTTTTTGCAGGGCAAACGAGGGAAAGATGGTCCTATGGGTTTGATCGGAGAAAAAGGTGAAACTGGCATCCAGGGTGTACCAGGTCTTGATGGCTATTCGGGACAGAAAGGTGCTGCTGGTGAATTGGGTTATGACGGTCGGATCGGCCAAGAGGGTGATCCTGGACCACCGGGTGAATTTGGTGTTGGCAGAGGGCAGCCAGGACCACGCGGTTTACAGGGATTTGATGGAGCACCCGGAAAAAAAGGACAACCAGGTTCGTACCACAATTGTTCGCTCATAAAAACTGTGAATAATAAAGAAAACGAAAAATGGAGTGATTTTATGAAAAACTATTACAGGTACCCCAGGTGGATTAGGTCCAGTCGGTGCTCGAGGACCGAATGGTGCTCCCGGTCTACAAGGATCTCCTGGTCTAAGTGGCTTACCTGGATATTCAGAGAAAGGTGATCGTGGTGCAGATGGCAATCCAGGTTACGTGGGAGATGCAGGAGCGCCGGGCACTCCTGGTGACTGCGGAGTGCCAGGTGAACAAGGTTTACCAGGCTTCGACATCCAAGGACCACCAGGATTGGAAGGAAGGCCTGGTCGCGACGGTTTTACTGGAGTGCCGGGTGATGTGGGTGATCATGGATTAGCGGGTTTGAAAGGGTTTCCTGGTACTGGTGTTTCGAAAGTGGGTCCGCCAGGTATGATCGGTTTAATAGGGCCGCCTGGAGAGAATGGACGAATCGGTTTAGATGGAATACCGGGTAGTGCTGGTTATCCTGGGGAAAAGGGTGATGACTGTGGATATTGTGCACCGGGTGTACCAGGACAAAAGGGCGACGCTGGTCTTCCGGGTCAGGATGGATATCCAGGTCCAGTGGGTCCAAACGGAAATCAAGGTCTTCCTGGAATGAAAGGTTTAGCTGGAAAACCAGGACATCTGGGTTCTGATGGACAACAGGTATTGATATCATATTGTTGATCCTAAGAATTTTAATACTTGTACCTAGTTAGATGTTTGGAAACTTTTGTCAAAAGATGTTCATAAATTTCGATGTTTCTGCAGGGTTCCGAAGGTTTGCCGGGATTACCGGGTTTCCAGGGAATAAAAGGTGAGGCGGGAGAAATTCTTGGTGGAATGGAGAATCCTCGAGGATTCCCAGGAATCAAAGGAGAAAGAGGGGAATCAGGCATGTTACTTTACTTCAAGCGATTTCAAGACTGTCGGTAACAACAAACACTACAATCTCGTTACTTTAAAAATTTTTTAATTCTGAGTTCATTTAAATTCAACGAGGAATTATTTGCTTATTCTTCCTCACAACACACTGCATCACTTCATGGCAGCTTTTCGCAGGTATTCCTGGAGAACGAGGAAATCCTGGAGTTGATGGGTTACCTGGACCACCAGGTCCAGATGGAACACTAGGTTTTCCTGGAGAAAAAGGCTTACCAGGAATTAACGGAAAGCATGGTCGTGATGGAGCTGTAAGTTTATATTTCCAATACTTCAGTTTTTAGAAAGGAGCATTCGATTCCCTATAAATTAGATTTTCATACCGAATTTAAAAACGGAACTATTTTTAGTGGAAATCTCTCTAAAAAGTTCAAAATAGTTATTTCATTCAACTATTTCGGAAATGCAGATTATTTTAGCCTGGACAGTCTGGAGCGGTTGGACCACCAGGTGACTCATATCCAGGTCCGCCTGGTCTACATGGGACAAAAGGTGAACGAGGTGCTGATGGTTTGCCAGGTCTTCCTGGACCAATTGGACCACAAGGACCACCATATAGTGGTCTAATTAGAAGTTTGGTTGGCCGTGATGGTTATAATGGAGCACCGGGGTTGAAGGGAATGCGTGGATCCGATGGTCTTCCCGGTTTACCAGGCTCACGTGGTCTGGATGGGTTACCAGGAAGAGCTGGTGAACCTGGCATTGTTGGATATCCTGGTAAGCTCGGACAGAGCGGAATTCCCGGACATCCTGGTTTGTTGGGAGATGATGGATACCCAGGAATCCCTGGTGAAGTTGGATTACCGGGAGCAGGCGGTCTTCCTGGCCTGAGTGGCCTATCAGGTTTACGCGGGGAACCAGGTATAGGCCTAATCGGACAAGTTGGTTTTCCCGGAGCAAAAGGTGAGAGCGGTAGACCTGGTTATCGAGGACATGTTGGGAAGGCAGGAGCACAAGGAAAGATAGGAGTTGCTGGTGCGAAAGGTGCAGAAGGTAAGGATAAAACCATTTCGTTGCTTTTTGAACTTTAAGAAAAGAAAGGCTACTACTACTATTACCACAAATGAATTCAATAATGATTTTTAATGTAATATTGCAGGTGAAAATGGTTATCCTGGACTAGCTGGGATCCCTGGAAAAAAAGGTGAACGTGGTTTACCGGGAATACCGGGAAAAATAGGACGTCCAGGACGAGCAGGAGAAGCTGGCACCCCAGGAATTCCAGGAATGAAAGGAAGAAATGGTATTCCCGGCAGAGATGGTTTGCCTGGAATTAAAGGAGAAAGAGGTTTTGCTGGACTGCCAGGTTTACCTGGAAAAATTGGAGCGATCGGCGAGGCAGGAACTCCTGGTGAAAATGGACTGTTTGGTTATCCAGGACTGAAAGGAGAACGAGGTATAGATGGGATGCCAGGACAACCCGGTTTCCCTGGTATGTCAGGAGATCGTGGACTTGATGGATTGCCTGGGTTGCAAGGTGTTGATGGCGAACCAGGTCTACCTGGTGTTCCTGGACTAGAAGGGCTTCCTGGTTTATCTGGAACTCCAGGTTTTGCTGGCTTGCCTGGCATAAAAGGAATACGTGGTGAACCTGGACGATTTGCTCATCCAGGACCGCCAGGTGACGTCGGATTACCAGGACCACAAGGCCCCATTGGTTTACCAGGACAGGATGGAATACCGGGGACTAAAGGAGAACCTGGTTCATTGGGAAACAGTTATTCCGGTTTACCAGGCTTGCAAGGCGCGGAAGGAGAACCTGGTAGAGATGGAATCGATGGACCTGTTGGGTTTCCTGGTTTACCAGGAATGATTGGTTATCCAGGTGCGATCTACATCAAAATTCCACTTATTATCGAAAAAAATATTTTATTAAATAACATTACACTGTACTGGTTAACATTTTTAGAAAATTCTTCCTCTTACTGCTTACAAAATAAAGAATAAAGTAATGAAAATTTCACAGGAGCCAAAGGTGAGCAGGGCGATGTAGGAAGGAGTGGTGGACGTGGATTTGATGGACAACCAGGCATACCTGGTGTTAAGGGTGAATCTGGGTTGCCAGGACTACCAGGTATTCCCGGTATTCAAGGTCCACCTGGATTAGACGGCATGTTGGGTCAAAAAGGTCATGCTGGTCTTCCAGGGGAGCCTGGATTTGATGGTCAGAGAGGAAAATCAGGAGAACACGGTAGAAAAGGAGAAATTGGCCAGTCAGGATCTCCTGGATCAATTGGTCCAGTAGGAGCACCTGGTATACCGGTTAGTTAATAGTAATATTTCTCTGATAAATGACGACTGATTTGAAGATGCTTCTTAACAGAACAACATCTTTCTGGCTGATTTCAGGGTGAAGTGGGCTTATCTGGATTACCAGGTATGCCTGGTGATGAAGGTAGTGCAGGTCTGCCAGGCATACCAGGAATCAAAGGTTTACGTGGTGACGCTGGTCCTGTGGGCTCTGCTGGCTTGAACGGCTTTCCTGGCATTGCTGGTGCTCGAGGTGACGATGGGCTACCTGGTCTGCCAGGAGCACCTGGATTCGGTAAGTTTCATAAAAAAATAACAGAATATTCGCTTTCTTGACAATTACTAGGGTTAGGAAACATATGAAGTTTACCACGTTCAATTGGTGTTAAATAAAAATACATTTTTTCAGGAGTTCAAGGTCCACCGGGTGATATAGGTTATCCTGGAATTGACGGTAAACTTGGTTTGCCAGGTTTTAAAGGTGGACGTGGTGAAGAGGCCAGGTCAGGTGTGGCCGGTGCGTCCGGTATGCCTGGTACTGATGGTGTTCCAGGTTATCGTGGTGAAAAAGGCATTTCTGGAATTCCGGGCAAAAGAGGTAATTATGTTTACTGTTTACTACTTATAAAATTAATGCTGAGCTGCCTGTTGTTATATTGCTCCTTTCATTGCTGCACAGTTATTTTACACGACATATTGTAGGTCGTGATGGAGCTTCTGGATTACCTGGGCCAGCAGGAAAGGATGGCTATCCGGGCGCAAAAGGTGAAAGAGGTCTTTCCGGCTTTCCAGGAATACCAGGAAAAGATGGAATTTCTGGATATTTGGGAGAACGGGGTGAATCCGGTGTTCCAGGTATGCCAGGTTATCCTGGCAATGTTGGATTACCAGGACTACCCGGTATGCCAGGACAGAAAGGTATTCACTTTTCTGTTTGACCATTTTTCTCCATAAATTGACATAACTATCAGCAGTGTTGTATTTCAAGATTCGATGCCAGTCGAGTACCTTCTAGTGGTATGAAGTTAACTAATGTTTTTTGAAAGCTTATGTGATCGAGATGAAAAATTTTACAGGAACACGTGGTGATGATGGATTGCCAGGTGTACCAGGTTTGCAGGGATCGGTAGGGCCAATAGGAAGACCTGGTCCTCCAGGTAGACCTGCTGTTTATAATCAATACTTGCATTCACCTAAGGGTGAGCAAGGGTATGCTGGAGTGCCTGGACAGAAAGGCTATCCAGGAGAAAATGGAAACCCAGGTAACATTTTTGTATGTTTAAGATACTCATTCGGCTTAATCTGTAGAATTTGCAGACTGTTATAAATTATGCACAAACCTAAAATAAAGCAAAAGATGACAGCCTAGCATATTTAAGTTAATGTTTAGGTATGCGAGGACCACCAGGAGCAGCAGGATTTCCGGGTTTACCTGGTCCACCAGGTAGTCCCGGACTTCCAGGCATACCAGGTATCAAGGGTGAGATGGGATCGAACGGATTCCCGGGATCAACAGGACGTATCGGACAAGTAGGGCAGCCAGGACCACCTGGATTTCCAGGACCACCAGGTGGCTGGGCACCATCACGTGGTTTCACTTTTGCAAGACATTCGCAAGCAACTGAAATACCACGGTGTCCGGTTGGATCACAAATGTTGTGGAATGGCTATTCGTTGTTATATGTACAGGGAAATGGTCGTTCTAGTGGTCAAGATCTTGGTAAGTTGCTGAAACAGTCTGGAATATCAGATGACAAATAATAGTACTTTATTGATCCACCTCATGGTCTCAGATCATCAAAATCTCTTCACATACCTTTGGAAGTGATTGATGATGTTGCGACATTCTGTTTGCTGTTTCACTCAGAAAGAATTCCACTGCATGTAGCGAGCATTGCTTCAGGTCAACCGGGGTCATGTTTGTCGAAATTCAGTCCGATGCCATTCATGTTCTGTAATTTGAACAGTGTTTGTCATGTTTCTAGCAGGAATGACTACTCATTCTGGCTTTCCACCGCAGAACCAATGACACAGATGATGAATCCGGTGAGTATGCCGTTTTATGGATCCCTTTTGTTTAGCATTCATTTGCCTGAAAAGAAAAACGCAAAAATTTCCTTTTATAGGTATCCGGCACGGCCATAAGGCCATATATTTCGCGATGTGCGGTATGCGAAGTACCAACACAGATACTAGCAGTCCATTCCCAAGATTCATATGTACCACAATGTCCACACGGATGGTCTCCTCTGTATTCTGGCTATTCATTTGTTATGGTATGTTCCAGTCTTCTGTACTTGGTATTCTTCCATCTCTTGGCTTTTGACATTTAGAGAAGTATATCAGATTTCTTTAACAGCATACTGCTGCTGGTGCCGAGGGAACTGGGCAGAATTTGGAATCGCCAGGAAGTTGTTTGGAAGAATTTCGAGCAGTACCATTTATTGAGTGCCATGGCCGAGGAACGTGCAATCATTATGCAACTAATCACGGCTTCTGGCTAGCCATTATTGATAAAGTAAGTTCTAGGTAGCCAAGTTTTAAGATATTCTTCCACAAATATCCGCATATGTCTGTCTACTTTTCAGAATAAACAGTGGCAAAAACCTATGTCACAAACGCTTAAAGCGGGTGGTTTGAAAGACCGCGTGAGTAGATGTCAAGTATGTCTCAAAAACAAGTGGTAAGAAATGTTTAATACCCATAATTTTAGCCCTGATAATGTCTTACGTCTGCTTACTCTTCCTTTTTCTTTCACTACTAGAATTTTCTGATTGATTATGACAGCTGTTTAACTAGTTTACAACATCCCTTCCCATAACTGCTAGTGAATCAAAAACATTGGAAAAATATTCGGAAAAAATGAATAAGGTCCGAACTGGAATGAGGATTTGCTATTAATTCCCGTTTATTTCAGAAAATTGAAATTTCCGAAATAACTTATGGAACTGGTGCTATGTAAATGGTGTTCACTCTGTCATTTCATGTAAGGTGAAAGCTCAGAAATTCTTTTCCCTCAAACGCAATAACTGCCGTTCCATTATACAGCGTACATAAAAATTATTACTATAGTAAACACTGCAATTTGTTTCTTGTTTTACCCTGTATATTGGACTCACTGCCAAGACATTTTAAAATAAAGCATTTTCTATTCAGCCGTGAAAGAACACCGAAAACACGCTTTCAGCGAGGCAGAATTTTGCTGGATATATGACAAAAGTTATATATATCAATTACATTAGAATTTCATTTAGGGGTCAATAACAGATAATAACGATAGGAAGTTCGTTCCTCACTTCACAATAAGTTTAGTAACTCCTACAAAACACAACTGCTAATTAAATTCGAGTCTAGGTGACGAATCTTCTTGCTCATATCTCCTCAAAATTACTGATCACGACAATAATTTAATGGAAGTCCTCGATATAAGTTATTTACTCATTTGACTTGTCTAGATCTCCTGAAGATGAACGAAGAAAACCAGAAAGATGTAACTTAGCAAGTGGTTTTCCATGAAACCAAAATCGGCTAGAATCTAACAAAATATATTTATTAAATTCCAAGCGTCCGGCAAATTCTTCTAAGATCAAATAAGATCGTATTAATCGAGTAATACTTACCCAGTAGCCCAAACTGTAAACGTAATAATCTGTTTTGATAGCAAAGCTGCATGACATAATAGTTTAATAGCCATTATATCAATAAAAAAAAAAAAAAAAAAAAAAAAAAAACTGCATGATTTAATTATCAACGATGGTCGTCTTCTCACTGACGTATATCCCATCTAGAAATTTGCGAATATCCTTATTCTTCACTGTTGTTGATTGCTGAATACGTGCAGCTGAAATGAATATTTATATAATCAGTTCACATGAGGAGACGTCCAGTTTGGAATATAACGTCACATTCTGCTTCTAAAAAATTTGCAATGGCAAATATATGTGGAATTAAACATAAAACAAAAGCACCTGATTCCCTTCATTAAATCATGACTGACCTGCTTGCGAAACAAGTTGCAAGTCATTGCCATCTACGATCAATTCATCTTTCTGGGTGGCCGACATGGTTGCTGTAACACCATCTGGCAGAGGCACACGCCTTGTATATTTTTCTCCCAAAAAGTTTCGAATCTGAAACAATAAAAAGCTTAACTGTTGGTTAGCACACGTCCATAATTTTGCTATTATCTATATATAGTCGAACGCAAATGAACAAATTAACTTTTTTTTTTACTTTCTTTTTCTTAATTCTACAGTCAGAGCAGCATTTAATAGCATTCACTTACAGGATGAAATGAAATCAGCTGGGTGAATGTTATTATATGAAGCAGAAAAATAGTTCAAATTTACCTCAACGATAGTATTCTTTTCCTGAAGTGAGATATTGATGGGGAAATGAGCATACACCGACCGCATCTTATATCGGAATCCTTTAGTAACACCTTTAATCATATTTTCAATGTGAGAACAAACGGTACGAATAGCAGCGACTTCTTTCCGTATTCCAAACCATTTCCTCACACGGATTGTATTGTCGCTAATCTTTTCAATCTCCATATGCAAGTGTCGAAAATCCCTCCTCAGTACACCACGAGGTCCCTTGACAATGACCACTCGTTTGTTAACTGAGAATGTTACACCCTCCGGGAACTTTACTGTGTCATGTGCCTCGATGAGCTTCATCCTTTATCACTGGAATTTTACTGATAGAGACAATGATTTTTTTTAATGGAAACCATACTTAAATGCTTATGAATGAACAAAACAAACAGCAAACAATTTTTGATCGTATTACATGTGAGCCAGTAAAAGTGGCATCTGTCCACTAGTTAAAATTTCACATAATTATTGAGTTCAGTTCGAGTCATCTTCAAATCTCAGTAATCCGATCTATGCCACATTCGCTCGCCAAGCAGTCATAAGCAACTAGATGACACAACGTTCATTAAGTAGCGTGAAAGAATGCGGAAAGACGTTATAACGAGAGACTAGCGTGGTTGCTTAATAAGCCCAAACGCCCGGAAAGAGGCAACTTGAGAAACCCCAGCACCCAATTCCCGAGAACTGGAAGACAACGACACCAGAAAACAACTCGACAACGCCTGTTAGCCGATGGGACCTACAAACCAACTGCGACCAATTCACCGACCAACTTATCAAACCAAGCGAGTCCCGATGAGACATTTCACATCTCATAGTGACGTGGTAGTATGGCAATACATTGTTATTATTCTTAGTTCATCGTATTGTTAGAGTAGAAAGGTTCAATAATGTTTACTTACAGGATCAAAGAATACGGCAAAAGGACCTATAAAACGATTTAAAGTGAACAATGCGCATCAAAAAAAAAGTAATATCTTCTTAGATTGCTATTTATTTAAACTATCTTACGATGTTTTCTTCATAGTTAGACTAAAAGCTAGCAATGATACGCTACGCAAAGATCTTTTTGTTGACACTAATATCAGGAAATATGAGTTTTTAGGTTCTCAACATTGAAAGTATCGTTTTCAGTTCGAATCCGGAGCTGCTACCAATTATATCACTCGGGGACGAGCGTTGAAAAAACTGCAGTTGTCATTGAAGGATTTTCGTCGCCTTTGCATTTTAAAAGGAGTTTATCCTCATGAACCGTTGCATAAAAAGAAAGTTAACAAGGGGTCAACAGAAAATCGAGTGTACTATTATGCTAAAGATATCAACTTTCTTGCTTCTGAACCAATTATTAGAAAATTCCGGGAATATAAGGTATGCTATTTCTTTTATCTTTTTAAGTATGTGTGGCAGGATTGAGCGATTGGTTTGATGAATGTCTTCTCAAAGTCCTACTGGCTCGGTGATTGCCGGCAATTAAAATCAAAAATGGACGATTTATGGTGAATTTAACTGAAAAACACAGCTTAAATTATTTCTGTACATCTTCAGATATTCTTGAGAAAGCTGACTACGGCAAAAGCGAAGCGAGATGAAGAACGTATCAAGAAATTATACGAAAATCGTCCTGAATATCAACTGGATCATATTGTGAAAGAAAGGTGTTTTATTTAACAGGTGTCAGGAATTTTTTGACGTTAAGTAGGCCTGCTGTATATTATACACACTTTTATGCATGACTATCTGCCTTTTGCAGATATCCGACGTTCGAATCAGCGCTGCGAGATCTGGATGATGCGTTATGTTTGCTGTTTGCTTTTGCAGTTTTGCCTCATACAAAAATTATTACTAGCTCCTTAGTGGCTTCATCTCGAAGGCTAACAGCAGAATTCAATCATTATATCATCGAATCGAATTCGCTGAATAAGTTGAGCCATTTTGCGCAGCATTTGTTTATCTTTTATATGATTCGAAAAATTCATTCTTAGTCTTTTACCGTAGCTAGCTTACTACTCTCAGTTTTTCCGACTGTTTATCGCTGTTGATAAAATTTCGACTATTTATTGCTGTTGATTTGATAGATTATGACACTGTTTCAAGTGCTAGGCATCATTTCATAATTTCGTGAAGCAGATGGTTAATGGGGATTATTACCAGAAAATGTTGAGAGCTATTTCTGTTTCAGGTTTTTGTTTCAATTAAAGGGATTTATTATGAAGCAGAAGTGATGGGTGAACGAGTAACATGGATTGTAGGTCATGATAGAGGCATGGGACATGTGAGTGAGGTAGATTTTTCCGTGATGGCAACATTTGCGGAATTTTATGTTACAATGCTCGAATTCGTCAACTTTCGACTTTATCAGTCAGTTGGACTGTTTTATCCACCTAAACTTGCTTTTAAATCGGACAAGGTTGTTTTTATATTATGACATTCCTTCTCATTATCTTCTCACGCTTTCTTGTTATGCTTACATTTTAAAAAAAAAATCCTATTCATCTCAGAATTTTTATGTATTCTGCTTTCAGTTTTTATAAAAATTTGGGAACATTTTAGCTTGAAGACGATGATCAAGCTGAAGAAGGAAGAGTATACAGTTTAGCGTGTCCACTGTCGAAATTTGAAAATTATGAGGAACAAATTGATGCCAATATCGGTGATGAAGTCGATAATGTACTCAACGAAAAGTTATGCGATGTCGAAAAAAGAAAACAGCTGTTTGCAAACTATCGTTTTTGGTTAAATCGTGAAGTCCCAAAGGATGTTCTTGCAATTATTATAAGGTTATTATCGCGGTCTTTGTAAACGTCATGTTCATTTCTTTCATTGGTAATATAATGCATAGCACCTAATCCTATGTAAGTCATTTCTTTACAAGCTTTATTTTGCAGAAGCTGTGGTGGCTTGGTTTCCTGGGAAAATTGTCCAGCGGCACAGTATTATGAAAATGATGCTCAGATTACCCACCAAATAGTGGACAGACCACTACTTGACAGTCATAAAAATATTAACAGGTATTTCAGATTTCACCATCTGCCATCTGCTTCGTATAAAATGGAATAATCTATTAACCAGCATTTATAGAAGACTATTTTATTCGCTCAACAAACATATCTTTGTAGGGGATAATGTGCTGGTCGTTATTTTTCATACCAAAACTTGTAGATGTTACGTACAACCGCAGTGGGTCTTCGACAGTTTTAATAGAAGAAGTTGCCTTTCAATAAAGAAGTATCTTCCCGGTGCAATACTGCCACCTCACTTGTCACCTTTTTCCAGTGATTATGACACTTATGAAGAGCAGCTCAACCAGTTGAGGCTATTAAGCAAAGGTCCTTTTTTCTTTTTCTAGAACTGTTGTTAGGAAGAGTTCCACAAAATAACTTTTTCGAAGTACTGATTAAACCACTTTGTTGTTGCATCAAGTAGTAAATCCCAATTTCCAGCATCGGCAAACGTGACCAACAGAATGGAAACTGAGGAAGAAAGCAAAGTGCAAGAAAGGAAAAAAATTCGAAAAGAAAAGGAAGTACCAATTATAAACGTCAACAAAGGTCGAATGCATAAAGAAAATTTGCAGAAGAAACTAAACGAAAAGGTAAAAATGACTATTCGTTGTACTTTTTATTAATGCTAATTTTTTCCTATCTAGAAAGAAAAGAGAAGCTGTGTAGGCAGATTTCAGTCCAGCTTTTTAACCTCAAGTGGTATTTTGATTACATACTACGAAAACTGATTTTTGTACAAGGTCTAAAAATCCCAGATGTTATTTGCAGATATTAATATTTTTTAAGACATAAGGCTTCAGTTACTGGGCGATAACTGCGTAGATTTCGGAAAGATATGTAAATTAATTGAAGTTTCCTTCTGATCTAAGTAGTTATCTTTTTAAGGGACATGAACTCAAACTACGTGAAATGCTCATACCGAAAAAACGTAGACGAGTGTATTCCAAAATCAAGCGAGGAATTAAACGTCGAGTTCACGAAGAGAAGAAATTAAATGAGAAAAGATTGAAAATGTTGAAAGCAGCGGATTGATATATGCGTTGTATTTGTTAAAATTATGGAATAAATCGTTGTAAAAATATTTGGTTATGACGTCTGATATACTACTGATTTGTCAAAAAACAAGTGGTTCGGTTCAGTGGATAAAGTGCATATTTAATATAGCGAATTGTGAAAAGGCTTGGAAATGTTGTTAGAGCCTGAGTTATTTGACGAAGAAATCATAAGAATCATGAAATTAAGTGAACCGGAAATTAGAATGAACTGAGTCGTTCCCGTTCAGAAAAAAAAAAAATGAATTAGGGGGAGCGAAATTATTAACCATAGTCAAAAAAAAAACCAAACAATAAAACATAAAATTAAAGATGCAAAGAGAAAAGGCAGAAGTAATGTTATTTATGTGGTACTAATTTAAATTACCAGTAATTAATTTCAGAACATCTTTGTCAAATAGCGGTTGTCATATACGTGCTTCAGAACTACTGAAAAAATGAAGCCATGATAACAAGCATCATGATGATGCATATTGACCCGAGAATAGAAGCAAATGTTCCAATGAGAAAAAGAGTAATCCATTTTTGAGAATAAAAGATTATTCACACAAACAATTTAAGGAATTATATACACTTACAAATAGTATGAAGTTGAATAAACCATAATGTTTGTGAGTAAAACATACAATGACAAACATATTACTTTTTAAGAAAAGAAGATTTTTGTAACTTCTAGTAAGACTCTATACCGGAAAAAGTTCAAATTAATTAGATGAAACTATTGAAAGACAAAGTGACTTTACATTATAGTTTTATTCCCGTAAAATCTTCACTTGTACTGTCTTACTAGGCATTGGTTTTGATAATAGAGGTCTGATAATATACTTTAAAGGCAAGTCCAAATACATCAGTCGAACCAGTGATTCCATTGACAATCTTCACTCCATGACTTCACACACAAAAAACACCAATGCTCACCACACTGCGAACAGTGCATGTGAGCGCAACCTCCATTCCGCTCTGTTGGAGTATCACAAGAGGGACATCTGCGACATATACGCTCGATGGTCTTCTTGGTCGCATCTGATCCCAAACAAATACATTCTATTTGTCGACATAAGCCACAGAATGAGATATAACATTCCGGACAAATTATCTAAAAAACATTTTTTTTTTTTTGCTTGAAATCTTTGGAGATGAACAAACTGCAAAACTGTCATCACTGAAAGAAAAACAAATATGTATCATATACAGTTACATACTTTAGCACATCTGACAGCCTAACTAGTGTATTGACATACCTTTGGATTTGATGGACTAAACTCCCACAGAAAAGAAGCACCGCAGTTTGCTCTTGGACAAAACATTCCTTCTTGTTCCAGCGTAACAAAATGTTCTGCTGCTTGCCGCTGATATTCGTCATAAGTCGATTTGCCCATCAGATAAAAACAATGTGTGTCGACAACACATCCTATAAATTATAAAAATCAGAATCATTCTATCCTATTAACTTCCTTGATTCAGCTCATTTTCTTACTAAAAACTTCTCAGTTAACCCTAACAGTGGGAAGAAAATGTAGTGAAAGAAAGTAGTGAGAAAAAAATTGGAAAAAGAAAGAATAAATTTTTTGCTGAGAACATGAATGAAAGCCTAGCCTTTTAAATTAAAATTTTTTTGATCAAACAGCAATTTGGAGTTTCAAGAACTAACATTTATAAAATTATACAAAAGAGAAATCCGTATAATCTAAACTTGTGAATATTTCTAAAGTTAAATCACCAATATTACAAACCACGACAGTTGTAAACAGGACAACCAACAGTGTAACCATTTGGCGGCATAAATGCAAACTGATGTTCAACAAAAGCTGTTTTGATATAGGTTGAGAAACAATCCACGCATGTTTGATGATGGCAGTTCAACTGCACAACAATCTACAGGAATGGAACACAAAGGACATGAATTTAAACTCACCTTTTAAATTAGTTACATGACTAGAAGTCCCAGATAATACTTTCTAAAATAATGTAACTTTTTTTATTACTCAGTGAGAAATATGAAAATCACTTTCATATACGAATCACAACATATCGAACAACTGCCTAATCCACGAAAATTTCGAACATGTGTTAGAGGTACTGCCACCTAAAATTGACAATATATAATACTATGAAATAGAAATCTATAACATTTCAAATGGTAATAATGGTGAAAAGGGATCTACAGAAGGCGAAATATAATGAATAATCAAATAACATTGCGAGGACAAGAAACAATGACACACCTGGCCGCAGTCGATGCATTTGAAGCAAAAACGTGCTGCAGTCTCCTTCTCACAATCCTTGCAGTCGGCTTGTATAGTATTTCTACAAGAAAAAAAAAAAAACAAAAACTTACGAAACAAAACAGTCTAATCACTTATACTTTTCTTGCTCGATGTCTCGTCTAAACACTACAATTTTTATTATACATAAATGAAGACTTCTAGAATAATCTTATTCCAATGAAATTACCAGTCTCAAATAATTAACACTCTCATTCTCTTCCAAAATTTTTATATTATATAGTGATAAAAAAGTCTATTTGAAAATGACTTTAAAATTAATAGACAAAAACAATATCTTACATTAGAACGTCATTCCAACTGGAAGGCTCTCTAGTGAGAATTAGTGAAGCGGATGAGCACTCAACACAATAGACGCGCAATTTACCGTTCTTTAGTGAACTGCAACTTTTACAAAAGACCTTAAATGATGTGATTTCAGATGACCTGTTATTTGCGGACAATGAGGGTCCACTTTTCTGCTTTTCATCTTCTGATGAACACGGTTCAGTGACTACTGCTGTTAGCGAGCTAAAAATAATGTAAATGAAGTGATAATTTTATCAGAAAAGAAACATATAGGTGGTAGATGAAAATAGATAACCTGAAACATCACACATTTCACCTAATATTCAAAGCTGAATTTGATCTCACAATAAAATGGAAAAATGATTAAAAGTTGAGAACACTATGCAGATTGCAGACCAAGTAAGGAAAATGAAAGATTTACGTTTGTGGTCCAAGTAAGAGGGCACTGATCGGTGTATTGTAAGTTAATTTATTTCCACAGAGGATAAGAAGGAAGTTAGAGTGAGGAATACCAAGCGTGGTTGACAACTTGTTTGCCACGTCACCAACAGTTCCATCGCCATCCACTTCGACGATAACGTTTCTGGAGCGACCGATATGACGCATATACCATGGCTCTCGATTCCACACCGTAATCAATAATTGCATTTCATAGTGTAAATACTGGCGGTAACTCCCGATAGATTCAACAACAGATCACTGCAATACGTTCACCAACAGATCACTCATAATCTCACAGCCTTTATTCTCGTTACGAAACAAATAGGTTCATGTTGATTAGATCTTTTGAAGTACTCTTTCAGCGCTGTTCCGAACTCTCGAGTCCAGAATCCCACTCCAACTTTGTGTATACATATGAGCTAATCAACATGAACCTAGTTATTTCAGAAACAGATTTGTGTGTGTGTGTGTGTGTTGTATGTATGTGTATATCAATGTATGTAGATATATATATATATGTATGTATGTATGTTATTCCACTTGTTAAAAATTAAAAAAACATGTGAAGCATGAGATGACAAATTAAGCTAGATAGAAGGCTTAAGAAGATTCTGTGTCAGAGGTCAAACGGTGAAACGGACAACAGATTACATTCGAGATATGTTCGAAGTATTCCTGGGATAATAGGACGGAAGAGCTTCTGCACTCATCACTGTATATTCTCTACCCGAAATTTGCTTTAGCTCCGTTTATCATTTGTGCATGCATAATGTGTAACCACGGATTATATACTCATTTGACAGTGTTTACTACTAATATGATATATCTATATTTCAAGTGTCGTGGATTTTCTATGCAATCATTAGGAGGAAACTGCTAGATTTTAGATTGATTTTACAGATAACTCAAAAGATTCAGTTCCATTCTACTTAGATATTCATGTTTTCTCGTTATAATACGTGAGAATATGCTTTACTGAAAGTTAGAGAAATGCGGAAGTTGTAGCGAATTAATTTGATTAAATTTTTTATAATCGTCAAATAAAACTCGGAAGTTACCGGATGGTGTGAAATTTGTATTGCATGCGTGAGAAATTTAGGGGAAAACAGAATTATTATTACCATTTTAAGGAAAATCTCAAAAATAAATTCTTAGAGTCACTCAGAAATTGGTTTTGCTAGCAACTACTATTTTATTAGCATCAAATCAGACAGCGCGATTTTCAGCGAACTTTCTCATCGATAGTAAAGCAAGATCGATTTTAATTTTTCAGAGGATTGTTGATTATATTACGGAGAAGATAAGGATTGAGAAATAGCTTGGCCAATTAGAACTAAGTAGTCAACGAATTTGGATGTCCTCATAATGCCTTTTTTTTCTGATATGCATTTTGTATGTTTGTAAGTGGATTGTAGTTAAGTAATCAGATGGATTGCTTCCATTAGGAAGGCCAGCAAGACTCACTTGCTATGACTTCACCTAGCCTTTGTTTTAGTAATATTCTCGAATTTAAACTTAGGATTAAATAGCTTCAAAAGATAAGTCTTCAAAAGCTCTGCAAACGAAAACATATTAAATGAGTTTTTCTTTGCTCGCTTAAAGTGAGTTATCTATTCAATAGTGGCCCCAACAGTACCCTTTCAACTGGGTCATTTTCTAGAATTACATAAAGATCACTTTTTATAAAACTGATTTGATAGAGTATCAAATTGCCAGATCGATCGTGCTAATGAAGTGAAGTGTATAAAATTGATTTGTGCAGAGTTTCTTTTTTACTAGTCTTCTATCCAGTGAGAAGGATAGAAGAGGATAAATTCTGTTTTAAAATGAAATGTGGCTGGCTTATAGCCTAACAGAGAATGTTTATATTCAAGCAAAATTAAAATGGTTTTCAAGCTGGAGATGATGTCATCGATGAATCCGATAAAGTTGAAAAATAATTCATTACATGAGAGCTATTTTTCCT